ATTAAATGCACATTTCACAGCTTTCTTGCAGAGATGAGGTTAACTGAAGCAATTCTTACAAAGGTTTTCTATGCCAGGGCATCAGAAATTATGCACTGACTGTTCTGCATTGTCTGCTCTGCTAATGCTGAACAAAAAAAGAGATGAGAAAAATTTAGATATCCTGTACCTAGCCGGGACATGCTGGAAACGCAGAGATGAAGTACAAGCAACTGATGCACTACTGCCAGAAAGATCTTCCTGTTAATAAAGAAAGGTGTCTGGACAGTGGAGGACACCAGCACCTCTGGGGAAGACACTCTAAGGGTGGCATTTGATCTGTGCATCCAAAGCATTTGATCTGTGCATCCAAAGCATCCACACACTAAGTTATCAGCTATACATGATATTTATCTCCCAAACTGCCTTGATGGCTACTAACTTTCTGGTTCCAAACTGACTGGAAGAAAATTACAGGGGCTGCAGTCTGCCAGCTTCCACCTTCTTACCATGACCTTTCCTCCTTGCCCAGCAGTGTCTTCACATTAACGGACTTCCACACCACAGAAGGAGAGTGAACCAGGGACATATCACTGTGAACCTTTCCCTCCCTGTCCTATAGTTCTCCCTCCTCTATCAGTTCCCTTATGTTTGCAAATGCCAGCCTGGCCTTAGCATGGTATTTATTTTTTTCAGACATCTGCAGAAAGCTGTCCCTAGGGTGTCCATCTATAAAAATACCCACAGTATCACAAGATTGACATCTAATGGTGGAGTCATAAAAGCACTACAGCATGTGCTTTTTGCTAGCCAGGCAATGCCTGTAAACATTGGAGTCAGGTTCCCATGCCCTAAATCTAGACTGTCAGCCTATACAACACTACAGATTCCAGTTTAGTAACTGAAACTTCAGCTTCACTTATGTGCTCTGTAGCATGCTTAGAAGACAGCTACACCTCTGCTTCAGTCTTCCCTGAATATGCATGTGTATCTAGGTGGTTAACCACCCAGATAAGAATCAGTGCCTGGGTTCCTCAAGCATTATAGCACGCTGTGATTTAGATAAATGTATTCTACTTCTTTTTAGTGCTACCTACCCCCCATCCCATCTGTGGATGCTACACTGCAATTTTAAAAGATAAAAAGGTTTTCTGCAGGTACTATATTTTAAATAACAGCTTTTTTTCCCCTCTTGATTTGACATTCAACTATCCATCAGGGTAAGCAATAAGTGACTTGGCAGATAATTCAGGACATATGGCTTTGAAGAACTGGTAATTTAAAAGTACTGGGACAAGTTTCCTCAACTCATTCACCTTAATTTGTGTTATTAACTTTTACGTGTGCTCTAGCAGCTTGTACAGCTAAAAAACTTGTAGAAAGCATAATGCAAGTGACAAAATAACCTTTTCCTGGGTTGTATTAATGTGTACCGCAAAAACCACACTCACAAACTGAGTAACAGAGACAAATACAGCTCAAAGCTGCTAAACATATATGTCTCATCTGTAGTCACCAGGTGGCACCAGTTGTATTCGTATATTAATGACGGGTTTCAACCCACTGTAACCCACATGGTCTTGGAAATGTAAAGCACATCATGTATGCATATTAGGTAAAGACTAATAGCTGAATGGTCGGTAAACTAGAGAGTTCGGACAGAACTTTAACAAGATTTGACTGCTGGATTTTCTATGTTTGTTTGTTTGTTGGGTTGTTACTGTGTTTTGTTTTGTTTTTTTTTAATTCAGTGGCATCTCTTAATTTTGAACATAATGGTTGAAAAACTTCAAAAAAATGCGAAGATGCACTATTTCAACTAAATGTATTGATTCTTGGTCAGAACTGACATCTCGTAGCTTTCTGTTAACACAAGAGGACATTTTTCTCTGGCTGTCATTATCAATGAGTTCTTGAACTAAGGAGGAAATTAAAAATTCTTTTGTTTTACAAAACAATTATATTATTGTATGAGGGTGAGTCTGAAATTAGCTACGTATAACAGTATATTATCTCATTAGCATATAATGAGATAATATATACCATATACTAATTCTATGATAATATATATAATATTCTAAACATATATACTAAGAAATAGTGAAAGCTAGTTCATTTACTTGCAAATCATGAGTCATATCAGGTTTTTATGCATTTGAATGTTCATAACATTCATCAATAAGAAAATATTTGTGAATCTAAACTGTTTCTTGAGCTTGGCAATATTTAGCACAAACATTTTTCTTACTCCTTATTATCTGTCTCCTCTGTGAATAACTTTTTATCAGAAGAAAAAAAAAAAAAACAAAACAAAAAAGCAAAAGGGTGAAATCTTGACCTCACTGAATCAATGGCAGAACTCCCACTCACTTCGATGGGTCAGGATTTTACCACACATGACCGGCTTTATACAAAGAAGGAAAATCAAACAGGCAAAACCACTATGTTATTAAAAGCACAGAGTCTGAAAATGAATCATCATCTAAACAATGTAGCAAATGTTTACAAATAAAAGTAATAAAAAAGTCAAGTTGTAGTTTGAAAGAGTTTTAAAAGGAACTTGATTCTCCAGGGGGAAAACATCATTTTATCTAAACACTGAAAATATAAATTTTAATATATAATTCTAAGCATCCATATTTTGTATCTTTAGTCTATTTGTAACAGTTTTTCAGCCAGCAGGTACTTTTGATTGATTATATTAAATACAAACAGTTGTACCTGCTTCATTGCAGCATTATTGAAAAAATGTAGTCCATACTTACATTCTTTTCATCATGACTTATTCTTAAAAATGAACCAATGTGATTATCTTAACATACAACATCCAGAGAAGCTTAATGGTTGTTGGGGTCCCCAGTGCAAACAATGGCAGGTACATGTAAATGATCTTTTTAAAGACCATTTTTTGCAAGCACTGCTTTGCAAGTAATATTTGCATTTGCAGTGAGCAAGCCTGGCCTTGTACAGACAAAAAAAGGAGATGTTTCTGTTCAAATGATTCATGATTATTGTTCATGCTCTACAGTAATAGGAAGACCCTCAGCAGTGCAACCAGGGAAATCAAGTCATAGACAGATAAGAAGCACTCTTCATTCCAGCCAGCAGCAGGCACTGAAAAAACATGCTTGAGCTAACCTCTAGTTTTGAGCCAAGCAGTTTGTGGCTAATTTAACACTGTAGTATGCACCCAAAAAGTAAGTTTATCTTTCACCTGCTGTAGCGTGAAGCACACCTAAACCAAATTTTACTCCTTGTATTCAAGCGTTTCCATTACAGTAGCTGTGGCACATATCAAAAACTAGTCTTGAAAATCTAAAGAACAGTCTGAAATTTAGGCACCTACTGCAAGGTAAATTTGTAGACTCTCTCTCTAGCTAGTCCAAAAAGTGGTTTATGCCATCTTAAGACAAGTAATCAAGAAAGAAACAAGCTGTTCTCCAGGGATCTCCATTTTCCTCCACTGGTAACAGGAGCCCAGGCAGCCAGATCAGAGGTGAGACACAGCTTTGGATGGAGACCATCAAGTGAGATGAACTCCAGCCTGCAAATGGCAAGTTCCACTATAGAGGCTAGAGACTGAAGGCACAGTTGGTTTAACTGGCTTGGCAAAGGGCTGTGCACTGATCCTTCCAGGTCGTAGTATACTGCATTGAGAAATTCACATACATTGTATTCTCATCTGTGCTATTAGTTGAGAAATAATAAAATGAGACAAAGTGAATCTAGTTTTCTTCCCTTTCTCTTACATAAATCTGTTGTCATCATAAAGGAGTTCTGCTTTTACTGCCTAGAAGAGAAGGCAGACACACACATTTGTACAAAGACCTACTATATTTGTTTCGTACCATAACAAAAGAAAGCATAGAATTCATGTTATTTTATCAGCAAAAATTACACTCTTTACCTATTATCTGCAATTCTATCTATAGCAAGTACCTTACATTGTAATTAAAGTGTATTGTATGCATTATTTGTGAAAGGGCTGTAATCATTTCAACATACCATTCATTGAAATACATTAATACAGTATCTATAATACATGAAAAATGAAATAAATTAAAATATACCTATTTTAAGGTTTTTCTTCCTGAAAGAGTCCTAGTAGTATCAGAATTCATGGGCTATGTTATCCTGTCTCCATTAGGTTCTTAAAATGAGAAGGATATGCAAGAGTCTAGCAACCTCCTGGAGACGTCCCAAGGCATTGCAAGGGGAAGCAGGAGACAGGGAGAAAGGGAGATGAGTTTGTGCCTTTTTAGCTGTACTTGATAGGGTGGATACCTACAGGAGACAAGGCTGAAGTTCTGATCAATTGGGTCAGTGTTTCCTTGCAAAGTGACCTCCACGTGGAGGGGCTGAAACCTTCATTGATTTAAAAGGGAGTTTCATAATTAATTCAAACGGACCACATCCTACCACCACCATTCTCTTTGGAATGATTTGTATTTTTAAATGATTAAGGATTTCCCACTAATATTTGCAGAAATAATATTACCATGTCAGAGGTCTCACAAGCAAAACCTAAGTTGGGGGCTTATGACAAAGATGGAGAAAAACTTTAAACCAAGGCATGTTCTGACAGGAGAAGAGGCAACAGTTTTAACTGGAAGAGGGTGGGTTTAGACCAGACAGAAGGAAGACATATTTTACAGCAAGGGTGGTGAGGCACTGGCACAGGTTGCCCAGAGAAGCTGTAGCTGCCCCATCCCTGGCACTGTTCAAGGCCAGGTTGGGTGGGGCTTTGAGCAACCTGGTCTAGTGGAAGGTATCCCTGCCTATGGCAGAGGGGTTGGAAAGAGATGGTCTTTAATGTCTCTTCCAACCCAAGCCATTCTACCATTTTATGACATCTAAATAAAAATTAATACAATGCATAGAGCATCAAAGTAATTGATTTTCTGACTTTAAATACTTGAGCGCAAGGATGATGGTTGGTTTCATTTTTCTTTTTGCTTACTCCCTCACAATTCTATTTTCATTAGAGCAGACTACAAACCTAGAGAAAATCCTGCACATACCTGTTTCTCCCCACTGGGCTTCTTGTGGTTTAACAGCAGCTCCACGGCACCAACTACCTCCTTTCGTATGGCATGAAGCAGGGCATCTCCCACATAGACATTAAAACTTAAGAGCAGCTCAATGAGCTCAAGGTTCTCATTTTCAATTGCAATAAGGAGTGCAGTTCTTCCCAGGGGATCAATGCAATTAATATTGATCTTGAAATAAATTTCTGCTTCCTCCAAAGCTTTCTTTACACTGGCATAATCTCCTTTCTCCACGGCGTTCAGATAGGCTTTCTCTGAATGAGACAGTTCAGATTCTGCCCGTACAATACGAAGAGGGATACGATCTCTGTAGGGAGCATTGACACTTCTTTTGTAGTAGAACTGGGCCATATTTTATGCCATTCTAATACTTTGTCTCTGCAATATGAACAGAAAAATTAAATCAGTAATATATTTTAGAAGTACAACACACCAAATTAATATTTGCAATATATAAGTACTTAAAACTCATACTAAAAAGTGATGTTGAAACAAGTACAAATGGCCTCTATCAACAGAACTTGTAAGACCGACAGCAAACATGGAAACCAAAACATATAACCAGGTTGTTGCAACTTACCAAGTCAAAGCATACCTGTCAGCATACCATTCAGTTGTATGTATTCCTTAAACCAGTGGCAAGCATGCAGTTATATGATACAACATAGTTTGAATCAAATGTGTGGCCCCACTTCATCCTTAATTTCTTCATGAATTTCTGCTACCTCATGTTTCCCATAGTTTAAAAGTATGCTTATAACATAGTGGCTTCTGTTCAGTAGACTACAGGGCCCTTACAGCTTGTAAGTTTGCTTGTGGTACTGGTTATGTCACTTGAGATTGGTTCAGTTGTCCATCTAAGGTACCTAGGCCTCTCTGAGATGCTCTAGTTATCTCAGGGCATCTACATTCCAGCATGGCTTGGGTTTTTCAGAAGGCCTGTGTGAATTCAGTACCTCCATACAAATGTCTCTGACATCCTACACATCCCAGGCATCATTCAACGCTTGTGTGTAGACAATTCAATAGAGCCCTTCTTACCTGTTTCTTTATCTTGGGCAGAAAGAACATGTTAAGAGTTGGAATAATTATTCGGAGTGCTGCTGAAACACCCTGATTTATCTGTGGCAGGCACAGATTACACAGTTGGGTGGTGAGCCTTCCTACTAAGATTTTGATTCTATCACATATGCTACCAGAAAAACATTAATATAAAATACTTTTCCAACCAGTACTTATAAACCTATAAATTTTCATTCAAAGCCTGAAAGTAAAAACTAAATCCATATGAGATAAATTGCCAAGGATGGGTAGATAGTAACAATAATGGTTTTGATTCAAAGCTGTTAAGTTCTAAACTAGAATTAATACTGAAACACCGTAACTGTAAAACAACACTAAAGTCTTACATATCATAAAGCACATAATGCCCTTGATTTTACTTTGTATGTTTAGTGCAAGGACTTCGCAAAAATAATTCCTTTTAATGAGATAATTTTCTCCTGGCTCTCTCTTCTACCTGAAAATAACGTAAAATATAAATAAAAAAAAAAAAAATAAAAAGGAAATAAATAAAAGAGGGAAGAGGGGGAAGAGAAAAAATTGACTTCAAAGAACAAAGAAAAAGCTACACAAAAATATTTACTTTTGCAATTCAGAGGTTGAACAGTGCACTAGTCAAAGAATCGTAATGTCTTGTCATTTTCTCAGCTGACAGTGCAAGTTGCAGTAACCCACTGCCTTTTCCTCTTGCCATCAGGCAAGTCAGGGGAGGCTGGAAACGGGTTACTCCTTGGACTAGATGTTGTATTACCCCCCAGCTTGCATCACCTTTCTTAGTACCCCTTTACAATAGACACGAGGCCTTGGTACTTCAGGATCAGGAAAGTGCGCAAGATGATGACAGGAGATCATTCAGGTCAGAAGAGTTCCCACTGAAGAGTTGGAGAACACCTCGTATTACAACCAGCTGCACTAAAAAAGAAAGAAGAGTGGTGGTGACTGGTGACTCCACTCTGAGGGGAACAGAGGGCCCCATACGTTGACCTGATCAGATTCACAGGGAAGTCTGCTGCCTCCCTGAGGCCAGGGTAAGGGACTTCACCAGAAAACTCATCTGGTATGGCCCTGTGACTACTGTCCTTTATTAGTCTTCCAGGTGGGCAACGGGGAAATATCATCAAGAAGCCTGAGGGGACTCAAGAAGGACTTCAGGGCCTTGAGGTGACTGGTTCAGGGTCCAGGAGCCCAGTAAGTGTTCTTGTCCCTTCTGCCAGTCACAGTCAATGACAGTGGCAATGGCTACACCAGAAAAATCTCATTAACTAATTCCCAGCTCCGTGACTGGTGTCAGTCCCAGAATTTTGGCGTTTCTGACCACGGGTCAGTCTACGCCGCACCAGGCCTGCTGGTGGCAGACGGGGTACACCTGCTCCAAAGGGTAGGATCCTAGCCCGGGAGCTAGCAGGGCTTACAGAGAGGGCTTTAAACTAGGTTCAAAGGTGGAAGGAGATAACACAGCGCTCGCTAGAATGAGCCAAGGGGTAGCGTGCCACTGTTGGAGTCCAGATCCACAGGGCAACTTAAAAAGAGGGTTTGCTTCCCAAGGTCAGAAAATGGCTTCCCAAGGTCAGATAGCCGAGGTTCAGTTCTGGGGCCCTCACTACAAGAAAGACATTGAGGTGTTGGAGCAGGTCCAGAAAAGGGAAACAAAGCTGGTGAAGGGTCTGGAGCACAAGTCTGATGAGAAGCGGCTGAGGGAACTGGGGTTGTTTAGTCTGGAGAAAAGGAGGTTCAGGGGGGACCTTATTGCTCTCTACAACTACCTGAAAGGAGGATGGAGAGAGGAGGTGGTTCATCTCTTCTCCCCAGTAACAAGTGATAGGACATGAGATACCAGCCTCAAGCTGCACCAGGGGAGGTTTAGATTGGATATTAGAAAAATTTATTCCCAGAAAAGGTGATCAGGCATTGGAACAGGCTGCCCAGGGAAGTGGTGGAGTCACCGTCCCTGGAAGTGTTCAAAAATTGTGCAGATGAGGCCCTCAGTGACCTGGTTTAGTGGTGGACTTGGCAGTCCTGGGGTAATGGTTGGACTTAAAGGTCTTTTCCAAGCTAGCTGATTCTTTGATTCTTTCTCAGAGAGGAATACTGAAGCTTCTAAGCCTGCTAGCAGAGCAAAGGAGACAAAGACTGTTTTCCACTGACTGACATGAACTTGTTCTTTGAAATGATGGAGCACAAACAATGTCAGCCCAGCCTACATGCAGTAGGCAGCCAGTTTGGGGTGGGAAAGACAGAGAAAGCAGTAACACAGATAATGATCTTAATGAATGGCTGCACCATCCAGTTGAACTGACCTCCCTGTCTCCTTGGCTGGTGTTATTCTCCTGGGTAAATTCAAGAAACTCTCCAGAATAATTTTCAAGAGAAAGTACTTCAGTGTCATTTGACTACACAAAAGGCCTCCTTCCTGCAGTTTCAACAGTAGCACTGGCCTTATGGCTGTGGATGTGATCCTACAGTGTTCATACAGCACAGCAACATTTCTCAGGAGACATGGGGAGTCCCCGGCTCAGGGAGAGGGTGGGCAGTCTTTCTCCAAATAAGGAAAGCTTGGGAGAAGAAACACACAAGAAACACAATTTCTGCCGAGATATCAAACTATGGTTGGGCAGAAAGGGTCTGACACGTTCATTAAGTGCACACATTCACTTAGTGAGGAAAGAGGAAGGAAGGCAGAACAGCTTGGGGAATAAGAACAGGAGCATAACTTCTGGGAATTATGCTACACGTGGCGATGGCTTAATCTACGCTTCAGGATATGTTTATGTGCAGATCCATATGTCTTTTCATGCTTCATGTGATGCAGCTCCCTGCAGAATGCTGTTTGGCCAGAATAGGGAGGTTTGGGGCATACTGCCCAAATACTGTTAGTAAGGACTTGCTAATAAGAACACTGCAATGTGGATCCATTTTCAGATGCACAAGCTAAGCCACCCCAATTATAAGTTACAACACTTTCTAGTGTTCAGGGCCAATATGGTTCTGCCCTGACATTGTTTATTCAGAGACATGTGAGTCAGTGCATTTTAATATATTTTACTAAAAGCTTTCATTAAAAAACTGAATCAGGAAAACTTATTACATAACCTCAGCTACTAATAATAACACACTAACTCAAGTAAAAAGAATTATAACAATCAATCAAATCTAAATCAAATTGATATCAAAGAAAACCAATTAGACTCAATAGTAGACAACGTTCCACAACTTAATTAGCTAGATAACACAAAATGTAGCTATACAAGTCTAGAAAAGATGGTTAGCCATTGGCTGTAAACACCAAACAATTTGATTGAAATCGATCAAATAAATAATTTGGTTAGTTAACTAGCTAACACCAAAACCAAATTATTATCTGGACCAAAGCCTAACAAAAAAAAAAAAAAAAAAAAAGGGAAATTTTCCTCAAGAAATTCTATTCTTATGTGATGACTAACCCATTCCTGTCCTTGTAGCAATGAAGACTTCAAAAAATAGAAGAGAAAACCCTAAGTCTGACAACTCCTATTTACCAGAAGTCATAAAATGACAGTTTCGTGTTACTCAGGACCTTTAAATGTATAGCACAGAACATACCTTAATGAATAGCTTGATGAGGTATTATGTAAGGCTGCTTAAATCCAGGGGAACATTTCTTTCCAGAAATTTGCCTGCTTGGCCAAATTGTCACTTATACACATGCCCAAATCACAGTTCAGGATTAACAGTCTCCTAGTAAATGACAATAGGAGTGAAAAATATAAATAGTAACAAGAGACTTCTCATTGCTAGGAAGGGGTACAACCAGAAAGCTGTCATGTGGATTCCCTGGTTTATAAAGGCATGTCTATTATAGCATTTTATAGATCCCTGACCTAGCAGTAATTATGTGAGCTTGATAATAGCTGAAATACTTTCAACACCCTTCAGGGAGTTTGTATTTTCTTCCTTGAGTAGGAAAAGGTCATAGAATGGTTAGGGTTGGAAGGGATCACCATATTGCAACATAGAAATTTTAAAACCAGATCACCTGAAAACCCTTGACACTTACTTTCGAGTTTTCTGAAATATTACGTAAAGTCTTTTCTCTTAAATAATGACTCCTTTCCCACACATATAAGGCCAGGTTGGATGGAGTCTTGGATGACATGGTTTAGTATGAGATGTCCCTGCCCATGGCAGGGGAGTTGGAACTAGATGATCTTAAGGTCCTTTCCAACCCTAACTGTTCTATGATTCTATGATATCCTTCGCAGCTTGACAGTATATCACTTCTATGTTCTATGATTCTATATATAGTTATTCCA